TGGAGCTCCACTTAAGTCAGTGGGGCTGATTCAGCGGAGGACCTGAAATTCTGTATCTGCCACGCACACAGGTCTCAAATATGACAACATTTGGGATTTATTCACTCCGATGGGACAGGGAGACTGGGTTGTCAGTGTCATAAGCAAACGCAGAGTCCTTGTGACCAAGACATGACCAACAATGCGACTCCTGCACATACATCCAGGATTAGAACGCGACTTTCCCTATAGCCACATGAAAAAGGTTCCCGAAGTGTAGCAAGGCAGACATGAAACCACCCACCCCTTGGAATCTCACTGCCATGCAGCCGGCTTTGACTCTACAGCTACTTTAATTAGGTGGAGCCTAGAGCTCTTTTCTCAATATTAGATGCAGCCCTATCCCTTGTTGCCAAGAAATAGCCCAGTTGCTTGGTTACAACCCCTTGGGTGGCCACCCAGGTGATCAGTACATGCGCAACTCAAGAGGAAAGGGACAAATACACAGGGCCTGTTCCTGATCTCATTTACACTGGGTTGGCTCCATTGATTTTGATGGATTTGTACCAGCGTTAGAGCAAGGTGAGTTTCCATCAGGCCACCTGACCCTGATTCTCCTCTGCCTTACACTAGGGATGTAAAGAGTAGTCAAACAGACGACTACTCACATCCCACCCCCCTTGCTGCCTCTATATCAAAGGCAGCAAGGATGGGGATCGGGAGCTGGCCTAAAACCTAGTTCCCCCCAGCACCGTCTCCATGGGGGTGGGAGAGGGGAATGGGACAGGACAGGCAGAGGCACAGCAGCGCTGCGGCTCTGCCTTTTAAATGTACTAAGAGTCACCTGACGCTTAGTACATTTAAAACGCAGACGTGCAGCGGGGGACCCAGTGCAAGCTGGGACTGAAGCAGTTCTGGCTCACACCGGGTCCAGACTGCTGCAGCTCTGCTTTTTAAATGTAATGAAGTTGCACTGACTGCTTAGTTGCAGCTAAGAACTACAGCTTGCCCATGCATGCCTGACTGTCCTCTTCCCATTTTCTTTAGGCAGTCATGTGACACAGAATGCTTTCTCCCATGAGCAGAGTCCACAGTAGATTCAGCTACAATTGTCTGACATAATTCACATGAATATGGAGACAGCAGTAAATTCCACCACCAGAACTCTGAATAGCAGGACAGACGCTTGCTGCAAAAATATTGCTACTCACCATAGGCCAATTTTCCCCACCTAAAATCATGCGCTACATCTACACTGGCCCCTTCTTCGGAAGGGACATGCTAATTTTGAAAGTGGGAATAGGGAAATCCACGGGGGATATTTAAATCCCCCGCGGGATTTAAATAAACATGTCCGCCGCTTTTTTTCCCGGCTTGGGGAAAAGCCGGAAAAAAGCGTCTAGACTGGCCCGATCCTCCGGAATAAAGCCCTATTCCGGAGGATCTCTTATTCCTACTTTAAAGGAATGACATGCATCTGACGAAGTGGGTCTTTGCCCATGAAAGCTTATGCTCCTACACTTCAGTTAGTCTATAAGGTGCCACAGGACTCCTCACCGCTTTTGCAGAAGGTTCCCCCCCCCCCCAACTTTTTTAAAAAATTACTGTGTGTATCTGGCAGCATTTTGTGTATGGAGAGTACATTTCACTCTCTCCATGAACATTAATTATTATTATTATTCGTATTACATTAGCACGCTTCTAGACACTGAATGTGATACACATCTTTCAATGATGATGCATGCTTTTATAAGTTCCAGGCTTTCAGTAGAGACCTCTCATGCTACATTTATGGATGAATGGAGATGCCTATCTCCTAGAACTGGAAGGGACCTTGAAAGGTCATTGAGTCCAATCCCCTGCCTTCACAGCAGGCCCAAGTACCATTCCTAAATGGATAAATGGTATGAAAACAGAGTATTATGTACAGTGAGTTTATCAGGTTTGAGACAGGAGTTGCTTGTAAAACAGTGAACCCTTTGCTAGTGGGCACCAATGGTTTCAGAGTCACACTGCGCGCACACACGCACCGAAAAAGAAGAGAAGGGAAACAGAGGCAATGAGAAGTGCAGTGACTTGCCAAGTTTCAGAGCAGGTCAGAGGCAGAACCAGAATAGAATTTGAGTCCCCTGACTCAAAGCTCTGACTAGCCAAGTGGCCTATTCACTGGGCCACACTACCTCTGCTGGTGACCTGTTTGTCCTTCCTATCTCATGAAATTGGCTGAGGCTATCACTCTCGTGTCATACTCTCAAAGGGAAGGGGAAGCACATCTTGGAAGAACATTCCTGAATACTCCTATTTCATTATGAAGGAAAGAGAAGCACGGAGCTAGGGAATACAATTTGCCTAAAGTCACACAGGAACTCCGTGGCAGAGTCAGGAACCAAACTAGTTCTTGACATCCATTCCCTCTCCTGCCACAAAATGTTTCTTCCTCTCTCTGAAGACACTAAGCTAACATAAAGTATGATATAAAATATGTAAAAGATCTCACAGGTAGGGACAGATTAAGCTGATTTCTCTTCAGGAGTTCTATGCACTTCAGCTATGTGTACTTCCTTATCTTCCTGTGCAGGTGATCACACCAACGCAGCATGCAGCACAAATTTTACCACTTCCAGAGCCTGATACAAAGCCCTGTTAATTCAGGGGGAATATTTCCAATAGATTTTGGCTCAAGATCCTAATTCAACATAATTCACAGCTTTACTATACAGCAGGAGCCATGGAGCGAACCAGATGGTACCTCCGACTTATAGATGATGCGTTTCAGACAATACCACAAGCCTCTCAAAAACTGCATGGGGTTATTGCGCATCTGAACACAGGGCAATGAGTATCCATCGCCCCACTTGAAGTCATGGCTGTGAATCTAGCAAAGTTCTTTTTTCACTAACTGGTGCTTTGAAGAGATTTTTCAGATGATTCAGAAATTGCCCTAGAGTTTGCACAGACCAATAGAATGTAACCCGAGAGGTTTAACCATATGGCAGGCCCCCGGAGGGAAGAATATCTTTACCTGAAAAGATGTTGGGATACAGACGATATTCAGTTTCTCCTGTCTAACTCTCTCAGCTGTAGGAAGAAGCAGAAGCATTAGTTTGCTCCACAAACAACCGAGTTAGCAGAAAGCGTAACAAGTTTCACTTTAAGAAACTTTAGTTTAAACAGCCTCTTTGAAACATTCCCGTTACTTGGGACTTACCTTTATTTGCAAAGAAGAATCAGGCACAAAATACAAACAAGTGCCATCCTGTGCTGGACAAACTGTAGCTTCTGGTGACAATCATGTTTAAACAACTTCTCTGGGTCAGCCTATGATGAAAAGGCTAATGACCCATCTCATATCGGAGCAGTAGAGCAAGCAAGAATTGTGCCTAGTCAGTAAAGAATAATTCATCACCTAGGGAATTAAATCTTACATTATACACATTTTACTGCACTCCTTGTAAACAAGGGAGCTTCTGGTGAATAACTGCAGCTGGCAATGATTTTGCTGCCTCAGGGCCTCATATCATGTATAATAAAAAGCACTTAACTATATAGTAGGGGAATGACTAATAGAACAAAATCCAGTATTCCCATTAAAAAAGTTTAAAGTTTCCTCCTGTGTAACCTCAAAAGATTAACATCTATTAAGATAATAGATGTTATTATGGACTTAAGATAATTCCCCAATAAATTTTTTTCACAAAATGTTATGTTTCAAAAGTAAGCAAATCTAGCAGCCTCATTGAGTGAATACGGATAAGTGCAGTCTAACGGAAACAGGTGATGCAGGCAAACTCCCCACATTCTGATCATTCAGAAAGACCTGCTTTTGACACCCAACTGCTCAGATATAAGGCCACGCTCAACAGTCTTTAAGGTCAATCATGCTTTATAAATTTATTCACAGCTAAAAGATCTGGTTAGAATCGAGACCAGATCTGATATTGAACCACAAACTCAGGAAACAGAGGTTCAATTCCTAGACTACCTTATAAGTATTACAAAATAATACTTATACCTAGAACCGAAAAAGTGAAATCTAGTAACAGCTGAAACTTTCAGCAGCTACACAAACTGAGAAAGAATGGGCCGGCCCTTAACCTAAGCCACATTGTGGGTCAGTGGCAGCGGTGGAATTAGACCTTTAGCTCCAACTGGAGCACAATTCAGGAGACTGGACTGTCTGGCAACATGATGAGCATAAGGGGCAGAGCAGAGCTCAAGTCTAATTAAAACTCCAGACCAACAAATTCATTACTTCTTAGTGCCAGTCTTTACAATGAAACTGAAGCACAAGGTCAGGGTTTAACTTTCTGCATGACATCAGATGTGCTGACCAGTCTTCACACCCAAGGCTTCTACTTGCAAGTCAGCTGTTCATTGGGCAGGCAGGCATTGCATCTCACTTGTACAGCCTAGCATTCCGGTTAGTGGGGGCTGCTGCAGCAGAGGGCTTTCCTTAGGATGGAGCGAACGTTGTTACCATACCTAGGCGATGGACAGCGGGGACAATGGTAGAGCCACTTCCAATTCCCAGGACTTGGTTATTCTGCAAACCAGAAAAAGGTAAAAGAATGTTTTCATTGCACATTAGAAGGGGCTCCAATACAGAGCGACCACAGCAACCCACTTTGACTCAGACGATCCCCCTTTTTAAGCTCCATTCACGATGTCCTGACTTGTTTCCCAAAACTGGACATTTGCCCCCGTTGCTCTTGTGGCAGGGTTCAGGTGACAAGCTTTCAAGAGCAAACAGAACAAATGCTAATGGCAGGGCAGGGGGTGGAATTGGCCAAATGGCAATGTCAGCTGGCTTGTGTGGGGTTTGGACCAGCAGCAATGCCAGGAAGCTCAGAGCAGTCTCTGAGCAGTGTCCCAATGACAGTATCCCATGTTAAGTTTAGGGAAATATGGTCACCCTATTCCAACAGAATACTTCCTTTGCTTCTGGAGTATGCACAACTCCTGCAGCAGGACCCCTGCTCAGAGATTTAACTGACACACACACACACACACACACACACCCCTCCTTTGCTTAGTTCAGACAGAAAAATATCAGACAAAAAATAGCAAACCATGGTGAGCAGGAAAAACAGTTTGTCTTCATGGAAGAGCCCACATGGTACAGAATTCCAAGTAACACTCTGGATCTTAAGGGAAAGATACTCTCTATATTTACCTGGGCTATGGGTTCCCAAACTGGGGGGTGGGAAGAAATTCCAGGGGGGACATGAGACGACTCGGCCACACACACCCCCGTCAATCCCACCCCAAGTTTTTCTGCTTTTTTGGGGGGGGGGGGGCATGGGGGTTACTCAAAAATCAAAAAGGGGGGCCTGATGCCAAAAAGTTTGGGAACCACTGACCTAGGGCATGATTTTAAAAAGTAGTGAAGTGTCAGCGTGGTTTAGATGGGAGTTGTTGTTAGAAACCCAGACCCATAATGTCTAGGAAAAACTAGAAAGACTGTCCCATTTGGAGCATACAGGAGCCTGACTAACCCTTCAAAGGAGTAAGAAAAGGTGAGCTCCAAAAAGATGATATTCCTTTGCACACAGGGGTTAAGGATGCCTGGGAAACACTTCCCACAATACCAGCATTGAAAAGGTTCCTGAGGCTTGGGATAGATAGGGATGTGAACGACTAGTCAACTAATCAATAAGCAAATGCTTATCAGACAGTCGATTAGTTGCTTCCCCCCACATTCTGCCTCTATCACAAAGAGGCAGCAAGGAGGGGGGAAAAGCACAAGGGTGCTTCAAAGCGGCAATGCCCGGGCTCCATGTAGCACTGCCGCTTCGACATGCGGTGTGCAGCCCAGGGCCAACTGGGGACTCGACTCCCAGCTGGCCCCAGGATGTACGCAGCATTTCAAAGTAGCAGCGCCACTTGGAGCCTCCCCTGCTGGTCCTGGGCCCCATGAGGTGCTGCTGCTTTGAAATACCTTGTGGAGCCTGACACCGGGCTCCCCGTGGTGTTTCAAAGCGGCAACGCCGCATGGAGCCCGAGGTCAGCTGGGGATTCTGAGTCCCCAGCTGACCCTGGGCTCCATGTGGCACAGCCACTTTGAAATGCCACGGGGAGCACAGAGCTAGCGGGGAACTGCTTAAGCCCCCCACTGGCCCCGTGCTCCCCACAGCACTTTCGCCTTTGAAGTGTAGCAACAGCTCTGGAGCTGTTGCTACACTTAAAAGGCAGAGAAGTCGATGTAAATTGCATCAACTGTTCAATTAGCCAGTTAATCTAAATTTAACATACCTAGGGATAGAGCCTTGGTCATAAAAGGTTTCGTTTTAACAATAAGGAGTCCATTGGCACCTTAAAGAATAACAATTTTATTGGGGCATCGGGATCCCACCTCAGCCAGTGTGAGGGGATCCCAATACCGTAATAAAATTGTAAGTCTTTAATAGTGATGCTAACGAGTAACATTACATTTAACTGGTTAACCTTTTAACTGGGATTTTACAGCCTTAGTCTTTAACATGCCACAAGGCTCCTTGTTGCCTTTGCTGAAACAGACTAACACGGCCACCTCTGAAACCTGTCATTTTAACATTGGATTTTTGCTACAATAGCTCTTTGTAAACCAGCACCTCCGTTTCTAAACCAGGGCTCTGGAGTACAGCAGTTCTCTGCCTCTGGGACACATTGAGAAGATGCTCCTCCTTCCACCTTCACCCCAACCAAAACAGAAAAATAAATTAAATGAAACTTCTCTGTCTACCTATTACTCTGCAAGACAGCTTCAACCTTCAGAAGTTGCCACAGCAGGGGAGGAAGTTGAAACAACCATTGGATGTTGTCTTTCAAGGAAACCACAGAGTGAAATATTGTTGCCGAGAACAACATTGCTCAGACAGCACTGCTACCCAAAGCAAGAAATGCAAGGGCATATACCCTGACGCAGGACTGCAGGTCAACCCACTCCTCACACCCAGAAGTCTGATCCAGTTTGCTCTGTAGAATACATGGTGTGACAATCTGAGTTTTAAAACTTAACTTATATAGAAAGACTAACTGTATAGCCCTGGATTTTCCAGGATGGTAGCCTAGTTCAGGAGCATGATTAAAGCCGTTCAGTCACATCTACACATTTCTGTACTACAGAATTAGACACACTGGGAGGCAGGGAGGATGGGTTCTGCCATGTTGAAATGACACACTGCACTATGGATCCGCTTCTTACATTTCCGACTGATATTTAAGTGTTGGTGGGACCTAACCGCATCCCATACACACTTCTATGCTGTTTGCCTAAAAGCAACTTCCTCAGCAAGCATATAAGGCTTCCGTTCACTGGAGTTGCTGAGCTAGCACCGGAAAAAAAAAACCCACAAGACGTTAGGTTAAGATTTTACTGCTTAATCACATTCCTCAAGTGAGTTCACTGCCACAAGGTATCACCGCTTGGTCCTTATATTTTATCTAATGTACAGTTTAACGTTCCTTAGGCCTGGCTACATTAAAATGTCAAATCGATCCAGCTAGGTTGTGAGGTAGCAAAGCCAACCTAACCTCCTAGCGCACACAGCAAAAATTTGGTGGAGGAATTTTCCCATCAACCTAGTTACCGCCTCTTGAGGAGGTGGATTAACGACAGAGATAGGAACATGCCTCCCGTCACCATAGTGGGTGTCTACACTGAAGCACTATAGCAACCTAGTGCTAACATTTCAAGGGTAGACAAGTCTTGTTCCACTTAACGTCATACCAAGCCACTCCCATGGCTGATGCTTTGACTGGAGTTGAATGGCTCAGGATGGAGCTACCTTGTTTTGGCCAGTGGGAACACTGCATCAAGATCACACGCCAGGAGGGGTTAAGGTTTTAGCTAACCCCTTAAATGATATTAACAAAAGTTAAACTCTTTAAGTATGACCAAAGGTTGGGGGCTCTCACATTACCCCAGCCGCTACATCCCTCACCTCTACACACTCATTGGAGATTCTTCTGCAAGAGGAGTCATGGCAGACAAGCACATCTGTATATTCCCAGATGGGGAAGCAAAGCCACAAAAATGAGAGAATCAGTCGCCTGAATTCTCCTCTACTCCTGCGGCGGGTGGATCAGGTGAGGACAACAAAGAATGAAACTGCAATCCTCCAAGAGAAGCTTAAGATCAAGAACAGGAGAAGGAGACAGACAGACAAGGAGGTCCAGCAGACCATCTAACACCTTTGCAAGAGCTCCTACCAATTGATTTACTATTTCAAAAGACTTAAGAAGCAACTACAGGCTGAACCTCCTAAATCCAGGACTCTGGTCCGGCAACATCCGTGATCTGGCAGGATCACGGATGTTACTGGACTAGAGAGCCCCAGCGCCCTGGCGTGCGAACCAGGAGTCCAGCAGCATGAGAGCCGCACCATAGGGACTGGTGAGCCTCAACCTGAGGAGCCCCAGCTGGGTGTGGCACAGCAGGGCAGCCACGGAGCCCTGACCCAGCACCAGGAAGCCCCAGCCAGGCAGGACAGAAGTAGAGCCATGGCGGCTGGGAGCTCTGTCCGCAGAGAGCAGCAGAACTGGAGCAGAGCCAGCAGGAGGGAGGGGCAGTGTGCTATGAGGCCAGGGGCAGGGGACCTCCCCTGATCCGGCAAATTCCCTCATTTGAGGCCAGTCAAGTCCCAAGAGTGCCGAACCAGGGAGGTCCAACCTGTACTACAAAATTAACCTGGTTTTATCTATAAACTAAATCAGATCATGTGTTTTAACCAGACACACGGAAAGTCAACGAAGTCAAGAAGCTTTCCTTCTGGACACAGACAAAATAAGCTATTCGCATTAGGGATGTTAAGGACTAGCCAACTATCTGATAAGCAAAAGATTATTGGATAGTCAGATGACCCATCAACTAGTCGATCCCCACCCCTTGCTGCCTGTATCAGATAGAGGAAGCAAAGGGGGGGGGGAGAAGAGGGGATACTTCAAAGGGGCAACACCGCACAGCTGATCCCCAGCTTAGTTGTGGGGCCTGCCCCTTTGAAAAGCCGCCTGGACATTTGAAAGGGACAGTGCAGAACTGCTGAGCCGGGGACCAGTTATGCGGCTGCCCCTTTGAAACGCTGAGGAGGTGTTCAAAGTGGCAACGCCGGACAGCTGAGCCCTGGTTCAGCTGTGTGGCGCTGCCCCTATGAAATGCTGCCTCGACATATCAAAGGAGCTGCGCCGCACAGCGGAGCCCAGGATCAGCTCTGCCACATGTGGAGCTCGGAGTCAGCTGGGGACTCTCCAGCTGATGCCGGGCTCCTTGTCCTCCGCTCCGCATGGCATTTCAAATCGGTAGCACAGCATGGAGCACAGGGTGAGTGAGTGAATCTGAGTCCCTCGCTGACCCCGGGCTCCACGCTGCGCTGCCACTTTGAAATGCACAAGAGCCCCCCCGCTGGAGACTCTTTTACATTTCAAAGTTGGTACTCACATGCAGCCCCGGAGTCAGCAGGACTTCCTGTATTCCTCCTTTGAAATGTACAAGAGCCCCAGGAGGGCTCTAAAAAGGCCACACTTCTTTTACCAGAATAAAAATTGTACTTAGTGCATGTTAGTTTTGACACAGCACACACACCTTCACTCTTCAGTTCTGATTTCCAGGATGATTTTGTTTTCAAACTGACTGAGGCTCAATGTGTTTCAGTTAGGCCAGTACCAAACAGCCAGATCTAAAGCAGATTCCTATGTGACTTTAGGGATGTTAAAAATTGTGTAATTAGAGTAACGCCTAAAATCTCAGCCACTACACGATTGCCCGCTGCGAAGCCTCCCCAGGAACAGGTCTGCCAGCCCCTCTCCGCCCAGCTCCGCTCTCATATAGGAAGTTTCCCTGCGGCAGCTAATCCTCCTCCCCGGGAGCAGAGGGGGCAGCTAGTGCCTGCCCAGCTCTGAGGGAGGTGGCTTCGCTGAATGTAAACAACACTGTTAACCAATATTAATCTGCTTATTGGTTAAACGGTTAGTCATTTACATTCAAACATCCCTACTTTCCACAGGTCACTTTGCTGTTTTGCCTCAGCTATCTTTCCTGTAGGACTGGCGTTGGCAACGTATGGCACACGTGTCATTAGTGGCATGCAAGATGATTTTCAGTGGCACGCGGCCGCCTTCTGCTCTGGAAGCCTGTGCGGCCAGGCTCAGCCCTCTCCCCCTGGCCTCCTCACCTAGCACTGCTCCCAGGGAGCTGAGAGTCCGAGCGCTGCTGCCCTGCCAGTGTGTGCGCTGGAGGCACAGGGATGTGGGGACAAGAGGGGGATGAAGGAGGATGCAGCGCACACTTAAGCCTACTCAGAGAGATTAATGAAGCTGCTAAAATGTAAGGAGGATTATTATTGACTTTAAAAAGTATCAATGGCATGCAGATCGTAACTAGAAGAGAATACACTAAATATTGGCATGCCACTTCTGAAAGGTTGCAGGGCCCAGCACTAGAATGTGGTTAGTACCTTGCTAATTCACAAAGCAGTTCATTAAATCTGTGTAGGTCTCAGATACGGATATGACGAGCACCTGAGGAATGCTTACGGAGCTGAGCAAGGGCCGTCAGAGAATACTGGAAGATATCAGTATCTGGCCACAACTTGTGTGGAAAATAATTAATTTTAGTACTGCCCTGAAAACGAAAAATATTAGCACTGCAACACAGATCAGCCAAAATAGTCATTTACAGAGTATGCTCCACCCTGCAACAGACAACTTGTACCAAGGAAAGAATGGAAAACTGTCCCATACAAGGCACACAGCTGAAAGGGGGTTTTGCTGTATGCAGTGAAGCTGCAGCCATGGGAGTCCCAGGGGATATGAAGGAGACAAGGGTTTGTGATGCAGGAAAGGAAGACTCCTTCGGAAGCACTGAGGCTTGGCAACAACCCTGCCAGCACATGTGCAGGAGGCCCACGGCCAGGAAAGGGTAACGCCATGCCATGCCCCTCACGCTCGGAAGCTGCAAGGGCAGAACCTCATTCTGCAACAAATTCCCCACCCACCCACACACAGACACACACACACACACAGTCTTCTGGCCCACGAACGTGCTGGAGTGCAGGATTATGTGCACGTCCCACGGGGCAGGCAAGTTGCAAAGCATTTTGCTGGGGAGCGGGGGGTCGCTTTTACAACTCGCGGGGGGAGGGGAAGGAGCTGGTGCAACCCACCCCAATAAATGGGATTTGGTGCAAAATTGCGGGTCCCTACTCACCTTCACGTGGTTATCGACAGCTGCCCAGGCGGCCGCTCTCTTCGCCTCCTCGGACATGTCGCTGCAGCGGCTG